CTAGTGACTAGAGGAGCCATGTCTGAAGGGCTCCGTCACAGACAGAGGTTTGTGGACTTGAACAAACTCTGAGGGGATACTATTTTACGCACAAGCAGCTCATCATCCCATCACAACCACTTTAGCTAATGGGGCCTCCTGCTGCTGCCACGCCGCCAGAGCCCGATTTCTATTCTTATCCTGAAGCAAAGTTCTTAACCTGAAGCACTATTTCTGGGTTAGCGGAGTGTGTAACCTGAAGCGTATGTAACCTGAAGCGTATGTAACCTGAGGTACCACTGTAGTATAAACACCGACAACTGGGAAACACTGGCCTGTAAGCACTCCAACTGGAGAACAGCTTTTACCAAAGGTGTCATGGGCTTTGAGGACACTCAAACTCAGGACACAAGGGAGAAACATGCTAAGAGGAAGGTACGCTTGGCAAATCCACACTGTGATCAACTCCCACCCGGAAACCTATGTCCCTACTGTGGAAGGACGTGTGGATCCAGAATTGGCCTCCACAGTCACTTACGGACTCATTGTTAAAACCGTGTTTATGAAAGACAACCTTACTTGGCTACGAGTGATCGCCAAAGAATGCTCAGAAACCCTCTCAACAGGAGCACTGTGTCTGTGGATTGCATCAGATCCATGCCTACAATATCTAAAAGTACCACTCATTTATCTCCCTGCAAAATAAATGATGCTTTATAAGAGTTTAACTTCACCCAAATGACGTCTCTTCTTTGGAATTGCTTCCCATTACTTTGTCGTCATCATCATCAAACCTTTTATTGGCATCACATACAAACATCCAAAACAAATCAATACAGAATTATCACTTCCCAGTGGCACAAAACATTTGCTAAAAGAAAGGAGGCAGAGCAGTCTATTTCTTTGTCACATCACCATCACCTCTAGAATTTACAGATTTGCACAGCAATAAAAAAATACCAGCTGTGATACTTGCATCAACAAAACCAGTGCCACTACCGCTTCCCCTCTGTGAGGGATTCATGGAGATTAAGTCCTTACAGGCATCAGATTTTGGGGAGTCAACTTCCCAAGCAACATGCTTTCCAAACAGCATGGACCTTATTAGCTTCTGCTGCAGTTTGTACGCCTGATGCCTAATTTCTCCACTTAGTCAGCAAAATCTCACATTTTGTATCTCTGCTGGATTAGGGTGGCGGGAGAATTGCTTGCCTATGCTCTCTTCTTTATCTTAAAGCATTTCTTAGTAGTAAGGATCATAAGAACACATTGCATTATCCCAGCATGCCCATAATGATAATTACGCAGTCTTTAAAAACACAGCAATCTGTATATCAAATAATAATGGATGCTATAAAAACTAGGAGGGAATAAGCATACTACAATACCATTTTGAACACTATGGAGCTCCTAGTAAGAACACCTGTTTAAACAGGGTTTTTTAAAATATGAATTCTGAGATTCTCTATTAATTTACCACAGGTCTATATACTTCATGCCCACAGAAAGCAAGGCAACATGAATCAAGAACCTGTGGATATCACACTTTCATTGCCATATGCTAGTCTTCTTTCACTACCATGGGAATGAGAGAGGCTGGCAGAAATTGCTGTCAAAGTGAAGAGTTCAAATGAACTTTGAGACACACCGCATTGAAAGTTCAAAGAGGCTGAAGTCAAAATAGTTCATCCTCAGATCTATGTAGAATAGAGATGGGGAACTTGAGACCTACCAGATGTTGCTGACTCATGTTATCCTTGACCACTGAACATACTGGCTGGTGGGAGGTGGGACCCAATAACATCTTGATGGCCTTGGCTTCCCTACCCCTGACGTATAATATAAGTAAATCAAATGGCCCCAAAACAAATTGTCATTCGGAACCAGTTAACTGGCTGTGCGGAGAAGAAAGATGAGTGGGGAAAAGCGATTTCCCTCAAGCGAGGGAAAGGGCGATGGTGAATGAATTAAGAAGTCAGGTGCCAGTATGCTAAGAATACTGGAATGCTTCTGTTCTGTCCTTTGAGACGTTCCTTCATGATTCTGCAAGCCTGTTTCCCTTTTAATGCTCCTCACATAAACAGACATAGATAATATATGTACAAATACTGCAGGCATCCAAATATCTAAGTCAGTTCTTTCTTTTTTAAAACAAAAAAGCAAAAAACGAGATAGTGTAGAAGACATCTTGTTTCTCCATCACACCTGAGGAAGGGGAACACTAAACACTGTGGGCTTAAGTGGTTTCTGTTCATCTTTTGAGGTGTTTCCCGACCCCCTTCATTCCTGCATCTGACGCCTTTATTTTTGTTTTTATTTTATTTTATTTTTTGCCTGTTTGCTTCATTTTGGGGATTTTCATCACTGATCAATTCATCAGAGTGCCTACATAATGCTGCATGAGGTTCACGGCCATTAACCAAAGGGACAAAAACTTGCAACTTACCTTGTGATTAATATGGCTGCGTCTACTGGTGACACATCTTCACCCCAGCTTGTTGACATCTCTAAATGGATGTCATTTTTCTTACCAAATTCTTCATGTTGCCATTTGCAGAAACTCTCCAGCATTTTTTCACCATGATGTCCAATATACATGTCAGCCTAAAAGGTGTAATGTTTCACTTGTTGTAACATATGTATCTACATGGCTTTTTAAAGCAAAAGAGTGTGTGTTTGTTTTAAAGACTTCTAAAAACATATAATAGAGAATTTTGTCGTTCTATAAATATTCAAATATTGGTTGCTACTCCACAATCAATATTAAAACATCTACTTCATTGCAACAAACATAATGTTCCCCCTTCCAGCTGACTACAAACATGTGTAATTAAAAGTCTGACTCATCTAAACTTTAGATTCTCTAAATATTTTTGTTTGCATCGGGGAATTTGGATAAATAGAACCATACTGTTTACAGAGCTGTTTGACCTAAATTACATATTTGTGACTTAAAAGACACATACACAAAATGTTCTATACACCTTCAAACAGCTTCAGAGATTTAAGTGCATCTTCCCTTAACATTAACCTAAAAATAATATCCTCATGTTGTTTCGTACAGCCATGCTGTAATTGTGTTTGTTTCAACCAAGGAAGACCTCACTATCTTCCTCACATTATTTTACCAATCCCCACTGTGTATTTGAAGCTGCTCGTGACATTGAAATAGCTGAGGAAACCTACTCAGGTGAAAGCTTTTGTGCTTGTGATTGATGGCACACATAGCTCTGTCGGTAGAGCACGAGACTCATAATCTCAGAGTCATGGGTTTGAACCTCATGTTGGGCAAAAGACTCTTGCATTGCACAGGGTTTCAACCACAGTTCTGTGATTCTATGAATGGAGGTTTCCAAACATAATTTGTAAAGTAAAGGTAAAGGGAGCCCTGACCATTAGGTCCAGTCGTGACCGACTCTGGGGTTGCGGCGCTCATCTCACTTTATTGGCAGAGGGAGCTGGCGTACAGCTTCCGGGTCATGTGGCCAACATGACCAAGCCGCTTCTGGCGAACCAGAGCAGCGGACGGAAATGCTGTTTACCTTCCCGCCGGAGCGGTACCTATTTATCTACTTGCACTTTGACGTGCTTTCGAACTGCTAGGATGGCAGGAGCAGGGACTGAGCAACGGGAGCTCACCCCGTCACGGGGATTCGAACCGCCGACCTTCTAATCAGCAAGTCCTAGGCTCTGTGGTTTAACCCACAGCGCCACCCGCGTCCCACATAATTTGTAGTAAGTACCAATAACTAGGCACAAGGCACAACTCGCTGCTGTTAAGCAGGGGGATAATTTAGTGTGTCACCAGACAGAACGGCTACAAGGAGCTGCCTGCTTCCCTTTTGAGCACTTCTGCTAAAAGCGGAGAGATGTTTTTCACTGCTTAAGAAAGCTTCACCAAAATGTGTCCTCCCTTATCATTTCCACCCAACCTTATAATTTAAGAGTGCATGTCCTTTATCTGTACAGATGTCTATTCTAAATAATAATGATAATAATACATGTAATGCAGGTTAATTCTGTGTCCAGGGCAACTGTCTACCAGCTCCACCTAGTACGCAGGCTAAGACCCTACCTGCCCACGGATTGTCTCGCCAGAGTAGTGCATGCTCTGGTTATCTCCCGCTTGGATTACTGCAATGCGCTCTACGTGGGGCTACATTTGAAGGTGACTCTGAAACTGCAATTAATCCAGAATGCGGCAGCTAGACTGGTGACTGGGAGTGGCCGCCGGGACCACATAACACTGGTCCTGAGAGATCTGCATTGGCTCCCAGTACGTTTCCGAGCACAATTCAAAGTGTTGGTGCTGAACTTTAAAGCCCTAAATGGCCTCAGTCCTGTATACCTGAAGGAGTGTCTCCACCCCCATCTTTCAGCCCGGACACTGAGATCCAGCACCGAGGGCCTTCTGGCGGTTCCCTCATTGCGAGAAGTGAGGTTACAGGGAACCAGGCAGAGGGCATTCTCAGTAGTGGCGCCCACCCTGTGGAACACCCTCCCTTCAGATGTGAAGGAAATAAGCAGCTATCCTATCTTTAAAAGACATCTGAAGGCAGCCCTATTTAGGGAAGTTTTTAATATTTAATGCTGTATTGTTTTTAACACTTTATTGGGAGCCGCCCAGAGTGGCTGGGGAAACTCAGCCAGATGGGTGGGGTATAAATAATAAATTATTATTATTATTATTATTATTATTATTACATGGAAAAGGTAAATGCAGTACTTTCTTACTGGAGTCTCATGAAGCAAAACAAGCTTAGTCACTCGAAGGTTCACTCGAATTCCAAGGCTCTTGTGTTGGAAAAGATTGAACACCTAAAACAAATGGATTAAAACACTATTTCAGAATTGTAAAATGAAAATCACAAATCTGCTTTGGCGGTCTGACGAGTTCCGAGTGTTTTATACAACAATTTTATATAACAGTTGGGTCTGGGCAATACACAAACACAGTCTCCATGTTCGGAACAACTTCATCATCTGTTTTGTAGGGGGGGGGGGCGCAGAGAGCTCATCTTCATTTGCACACACAGATCAACTTTCTTTGATGGAATTAGAAGCTCATGTTCACATCCAAGCACACAGAGCACTTTATGTAAGTGAGAGTGGAACGTACTGTTGACTCCTTAATATTTTGTTCCTGAATGTTCAAGGAATATCATAGTGTACTAATGTAAGTAGGCTAGGCTGGGGGGAAAGCAGCACTGTTACATCTCACAAGACATCTATGGAAACCTAACAAGAAGGGCCAAAAAGCTTGAGTCTAAACTGGAGATGGGAGCTTGGGTCAGATCCTGCGCCTTCATAAGAGTACTAATCAGGACTCTGACCCACACTAGGACCCCACCTTCCAATCCTAATGACTTAGACAATTAAGCTGTGTTCTTTACTGAACCTTCAAGCTAATTTAAATTGACGGTAGAGTAGACCAACTGGGATAAATGGCAGCCATTCACTTACATTCATAGTTTGCAATGGGTATGACTTAGCTGGCGATCACCCAGCGTATTATCTTTACAGAAAGTCTCAACGTTCCCTACCATATTTAGAATCGTTAGGATAAATCGTCTAGCTGCATCAGCCCCGTGATAGGAAATCATAGCCGGATCTGCAACAACTACAGTCTCCACATTATATTCTTGAGGTAATTTATAGGAATATCTTTTTCCTCGTCCGCTTTCTGTTCCTTTTTGGCTCTTGGGTAGTCTTTTCTCTGCAACAGAAACAAGTAGTAGACAAATGATCGCATAAAGATGCTTTATACTGAGTTATGCTATTGGACCATCTCTATCTGGAGATGCTAGGGTTCTTCTGTATCCAAATATATGCTCTGTGATTGACAGAAAGGCATCCTAGCCATTTTTAGCAAAAAAATTTTTCACTGGGATACATGTTTTATGGCTTTTGTTCAAACCTCTAGTGATTATCAACTTATAAATGAAATATTTACCAACCATGGATTATACAACGCTAATGAATATAACGTTACACTTCCTGCTCAGGGCTGGATTTAGGTTTGATGAGGCCCTAAGCTATTGAAGGTAATGGAACCCTTTATATGTCCAGCTGTCCTTGTCGCTGTTTTTTGTGTTGAGTATATGCTATATGGTAATTTGTGGACCTAATAGCTCCATAAATGGGATGCGGGTGGCGCTGTGGTCTAAATCACAGAGTCCAGGCCTTGCTGATTAGAAGTTTGGCGCTTCGAATCCCTGCGACGGGGTGAGCTCCCATTGCTCGGTCCCAGCTCCTGCCCACCTAGCAGTTTGAAAGCACGTCAAAGTGCAAGGAGATAAATAGGTACCACTCCGGCGGGAAGGTAAACGGCGTTTCCGTGTGCTGCTCTGGTTCGCCAGAAGCAGCTTAGTCATGTTGGCCACATGACCCAGAAGCTGTCTGTGGACAAATGCCGGCTCCATCGGCCAGTAAAGTGAGATGAGCGCCGCAACCCCAGAGTAGTCCGTGACTGGACTTAACTGTCAGGGGTACCTTTACTTTTATCTTTAATAGCTCCATACACAACACAAAACACTGTTGCTGTGTGTAGGTTTATTTTATTTTTTATCATATTTTGGAAATGTACATCCAGGCTTTTCCCCCTTAATTTTTTGGGAGGCCCAAGAAAGTGGGGCCCTAAGCTATAGTTGTTTAGCTTATACATAAATCCGGCACTGTTCCTGCTCTAAACTTTTAGAGTAATTGGCATGTCTGCTCATTCTAGTCATGCTCATATGTCCAACAGATAATCGACTGGCCTCAATAATCAATTAACTGCTTAACACAAGTTCCAGCGCATTTGATGGGTTTATGGGGCTTCACATTTCCCTGGTTTTTAATGCTGCCAACTTTGCTCTATAGGAGATTCCCCTGAACTAAGACTAATGAGCTACACATAGTTCACTTAATATTTTTTACTGTAGAAGCAGGAACATACTGTAGATTTAGCAGCAACATGCTTCCACAAGCTCAAAAATCAGAAGCTACACGTATATTTTTTATCATTAATTCAACCTCAGCTCTGTGAATCAATCACAGCTCCCTAAAATCTGTGAAGTTAAATAAGCATCTGTGAAGTTAAATAAAAAATGCGGGAGGTGGATTCTCATGTTGCAAGTACACACTAAATTATTATTTCTATTCCAAAATAGAAATCATAAGTATTTCCAATCTCATCTTTATTTTTCTTAGTCATGGGATGCAATAAAATAATCAAAATTGCTTTCCTAGAAACTGGCAAGAAACATTTATGGACAATAACTTAAAAAGTGTTCAGAAGAAGGATGGAGAATGCTAATAAAACAATATGGTGCTTTCATTTCTCCCCCCCCCCTTCAACTTGCAGATATAAAAGAATCACAGTTCAGTAGTTAAGCTTGCTAAGGGGGGGAAATGCTTAAAAACTAAAGAAAATATCCCTATGTGATAAAATGTTAGTGAAAATACTTTCACTCCATCCCTTCTGCAAGTCTATTAATGCTGGTGTTTCTGAGTACTTTGCACTGGGTTTTAATTTTATTTTTTTAATTTACAACAAAAAGGCCATTATGTATACAACTGTCACATTTAATAGCCTTCTTCCATTTCAAGAGATGACTGGTTCCAGCAACATTCTCTGTTTAAAATTGCTCTACTTCCCTTTGGTCTCTCAGTAGGAATCTTAGAAAGCTGAAGAGCCTCTTTAAATGCAACCAATGCCTACGGAGGAACTGCGAAAACAGACCACACAGATGAGGAAGAAAACAAAAAAGGGTCTGTGTGTGGGAGTCTTTCAAAACACATACACAAATTAACCAAAAACAATGATAGCTCCTAAAGATGTTATTAGGAGCTAAACACACGGAAAGATGGAAACTGTTGTCATTTGATTTGGGCAAAATAATGAAAGGGTAAAATAAATGTTTTTGAAACTGCTCAAGGTGAGGTACCACAGACAGGGAAACGTAAGTGGGTTGTGTCTATACCTGACACTTTTGAAAATCCAGGAGGAGGAGAAAGAGTCTCTTATCCCCACGATTTCATTCATAATAACGGTAGTATTAGTAATAATAAATGACATGGCACACATTTTGATATCTTCATTCATTCAGATAATATTGCCAACATAAGCAAGAAAGAGCAAAACCCACGTAAATTGATTCAAATCTTGACGCTCTGAGGCTGAACAAGATTGAACCGTTACAATATTCTGTTTAAAATGCTAATTTTCATTTAGCTTATTTTACAAAGTGTGCATGTGATGAATCTAAGGGTTCGTCCACACCAGTTTACTGTGTTTGCATTCCCATTTA